AGAAGTAGAAAAGATAACCATACCCGACCTTGGTTGAAAGATATATGGAAATCCACCTGGGAAAGCGCCCATAGTTATCATAAATGATGCTGATACTAGTAAGAAGAATGGGTTTGTGAATTGTGCATCTGCACAAGGCTTACTATATAACAGGTGTTGCCCTGCATTTTACTCTGCTTTATTGTAGTTGTTACCTGATTATTTTTCCATTCCCTACGTTGAAATTAAAGCAGAGTTATCATGAAGCTTGGAATATCAAATATTTTATTTTGACTTTCATGATGGAAAAATAGCAGGAGTATTTTGAAACTTCACTTAACAGTACTGAAAATATGGTCCGCCCGTACTTTTAGTCAAGCTTCTATTCAGAAGGTTAACTCATTTGCTGTATGCAAGTGCGACTCAGTTTTTGATATCAAAAGACACACTTCATTTTGAGCTAGTGATATATGGTTTGATGCTTATTCTTTATAGCTGATGAAAGTCCGATGAAATAGTTCTTACTATATAAAACATAGAGATAAATTTTCCAATTTGAGAATATACATTGTTCACTTGCAGGGCAACCGGTTTCTTCCTTACACATGTTAACAATATGGTCTGCATCTGCTGAATGCACAATTTATGCATTAAGGATTTTCTGAAACACTACTGCTCCAGACTTATGTTTGTAGAAGTTCAGTTCTTTAAAATTCCTTTATCATTGGTATTTGATGCATGTGCTATTGTGGTCCAGGCTGCTTGCGCAGAACTCCGGAATAGCAGGCTGTTTCTCAAGCTCCTTGAGGCTGTTTTGAAAACAGGCAATCGTATGAATGATGGAACATTTCGTGGTGGTGCACAAGCATTTAAACTTGACACGCTTCTGAAATTATCGGATGTAAAAGGAATAGATGGGAAAACTACATTGCTGCATTTTGTTGTTCAGGAGATAATCCGCTCAGAAGGTATACGAGCTGCTCGTGCTGCCAGGGATCAACGGAGTATGTCTAGCATCAAGTCCGATGATCTACTCGAGGATTTGCCTCAGGATTCAGAAGATTACTATCGGAGTACTGGTTTACAGGTTGTCTCCGGTTTGAGTAGTGATCTTGAAAATGTGAAAAGAGCTGCAATTCTAGATGCAGATAACTTGACAGGCACAGTGGCCAAACTTGGCCATGCACTTATAAAAGCGCGTGATTTCCTAAATTCAGAGATGAAGAACATAGATGATGAAGATGGGTTTCACCAGACCATGAAGAACTTTGTGCAGAATGCTGAAGGCGAAGTCATGTCGTTGCTTGAGGAAGAAAAGCGAATTATGGCTCTTGTTAAGAGCACGGGTGATTATTTCCACGGAAATGCTAAGAAGGATGAAGGTTTGCGATTGTTTGTAATTGTAAGGGATTTTCTGGTTATATTGGATAAGGTATGCAGAGAGGTGAAAAATGCTCCAAGAAAGCTAAATAGCACACCAAGGAAAGAACATGTAGCCGTTACAACTTCAGAATCCACTCTTTCACCGCGACCTGATCAATCAACCCATTCACCACGACCTGATCAGCGTCAGAAGCTCTTTCCGGCTATCTCAGACAGGCGAATTGATGATTCTAGTTCGGATGATGACGCTCCTTGAGTACATTTTTCCCAACAGGTACAAGGTACCTAGCTCTTTTTATTTGTTTCCCTTTTGCTTTCTTCTATTTTGCCTAGCAATAGGAGACCTTCTAGGATGTTGAGGATAATATATATCCGCTACCTAGAGTACCTTATTTATTTATTTCATGTTATGATTTGCTTAGGGATCTGAATACAAGTACAACAACAACAATCATGCCTCAATCTCAAGCAAGTTGAGGTCGGCTATATGAATTTGTATTGTCCATGTCGCTCCATTTAAGCCCGTCTCAGTCCAATAACTGCTTAGGAATCTTAGAACATGGGCTAAAATATTCTTTCGTTATAGAACCGGGGCGTGGTAACATGGAAGAGATTGACTCGTTGCTTGGTAGGCTAACTTGAGCGGAGCAGAGACCTGAGAAAAGCTATGCCTTCAGAGATGATCTGCTACATGGCTCTACATCAATGTACCTAAAAAGTAGCTAGGATCATTCAATTTATTCTTTGTAATTATTTTTTGTCAATTTTGTGCTGATAATTCTTCATTCGAATGGAAGTAGCCTGTGCATTATTTATTGATCGTGTTTGCAAGAGAGAAGATGTAAATAGTTTGTTCCGCCACAGTCGAGCACCACTTCCAGACCAACATTCGCATATCTTTTTGGGTTTACTTTGAATCTATCGCATAGGAAGCCTTTGTTGTGATAGTGATCAAAGGTTTTACTATAAGATAACTGCATGGGAAGTTCTTGGACTTGTGGTTATATCTATTATCTAAGACATCAATTTTTTGAGACACTTGAAAACTTATCAATTTTTAAGACAAAAATGTTAATATTGGAGTAGGAGGGACACCTTTATGCTTAGTATTAATGACATAATTTTCAAAAATCCCAAAGTTTTCTTATTTACATAAAGTTTCCCCCTCCTCCTCCTCCCCTTGTTCCTCCATCGCTCCTCTCTATCCTCCCGCCATACCTTATCCTCAAGCATTTAGGGAGATGTTTTAAACATAGGGTAATTTTCGTTCCTATACCATATAGGAAACTATATTACCAAATATGTTCATAATTTACATATTACCCTTCATGCTAATAGTATTTCTACAAAATATAGATCATGCATTAAATAAGGAATCATTGTAGCTGTATGCTTCCTTATTTAGGCGAGCTAAAATTGGGGGATTAAATATTCTTCCAGATCTGCCAAACGCAAATCACTCACATTAATCTTTTTTGTCAGTTTCATTTCAAATTTAGCGTCTCTACATCAAACAAAATTATTCTTCTACAATTCAAAAACGAATTGATTATTCTTCTACAATTCACAAATCAAAAACGACTAAATCTTCTAGAATTCTTCTACATCAAACGCATTTATGTCCAAATTTCAGTAATACAAAGCAAAGGAAAAGAGAGCAGCAATTCCACCATTAAAAAGCTTTGAAGCTTTGAATTCAAATTTGGGTTTTCAAAAATTATTATTTGTTTGGATTGGGTGTTGTTGCAAATAATTGAGAATATGATTTGGAGTTTATATCTCAATTTTGAGGGGTTTTGGTGAAGATTAGACTTGATTTTGGCTGAATTTCGGATTGAAACTCGAAGAAGAAGAAGAAGAAGAAGAAGAAGAAGAAGAAGAAGAAGAAGAAGAAGAAGAAGAAGAAGAAGACGACATGACATACATTATATTGCAGAAATTGTAGAAAAATAGTAGATAAATTGTAGAAAAATTGTATTCTATTGTTTATTTATTTTTCTTTTATTCATTTAACTATTGTATGAAAGTTGAACAACAGTGTATAAAAATTATATTTAAGTGGTATTATATTGTAGTTATATATAATTTAGTAGAAATAATGTACGAAAATTGTAGATAATTTGTAGATAAGTTGTATAATATATAATTAGTTGTATGAAAATTATTTTTAGTATGTATAAATCAGATACAAAATATACAAAAGACATATTGTATAAATTTTGTATAAAATTTGTATGTAAGTTTTATGTTATTGTAGTTGTATTTAACTAGGTAGAAATAATGTGTGAAAGTTGTAGAAAGTTGTAGATAAGTTATATTCCTCTATAACGGGAGATGTTGACATATCAAGTAACTTTAGTGTTCCAGACGAACATGCATGAAAATAAAGATAAATTCTGTTATGAACAGTTTTTAGATATTTTATAGATAATCTGTAGAAACATTGAAATTATGTATTTTCATATTAATTTATCAAATGATATGTAGTTTTGTTGTAGATTAAATGTAAAAACAAGCCATTGTGAGTCTTATTTGACTCATTCCTCACATTCAACCTATTCTACAAATTCA